ATACATACATACACACACACTTGCACCTTACGGCCTTCACTTTCTAAATAGTAGATGTTTTCTTCATTCTTTTTTTTCAGCTGCATAGTACTGTCACGTGTACACACAATTTATTATGCAGCCTTTTCTAGTTGGGATAGTTCCCAGTCTTTTGCTATTGCAAACAATGCTTTGGTGAGTCACTTTGTACAGATGACATCCATATGTGAACAGGTGTATCTGTAGGATATATCTAAGTCAAATAATAAATGCATCTATAATTTTTGTAGAAATGACCTTGATCCCCTTCAATGAAAGTGAAATTGTATAAAAAATAAATTTAAAAGTTTTAAGAGGCACTGCACACACATTTTTGTGGTAAAACATACATAACAAAGTTTACCACTTTAACCATAAAAAAAGTTCAGTGACACTAAGTACATTTCTATTACTGTGCAATCACCACTATCCAGCTCTAGGACATACTCATCTTTCTATGCTGAAACTCTGTATCCATTAAATACTAATTCCCTTTTCTCCCCTCACCATAGAGCCCTGGTAACAAGCATTCTACTTTATGTCTCTATGAATTTGACTATTCTAAGTACCTTATATGAGTAGAGTCATATAATATTTGTCCTTCTGTGCCTGGCTTTTGTCTTCAAGGTTCATTCATGTTATAGCAAGTGTCAGCATTTCTTTCCTTTTTAAGGCTGAATAATACTCCATCATATGTATGTGCCATGTTTTGTTTATCCATTCACCCATCAGTGGATATCTGGGTTATTTCTACCTTTTGGCTATCATGAATATACTCATCTTTTTTAAACACAAACACATATCCCACTCATCTCATCCCCCACAATCCCTACCCAAAGCAACTCTTGATGCCAGTTTTTATTTGTCATTCCAGAGTAACTGAAAACATAAATGTTGTAGATGCAAACAACAACATCCTGTACACACTGTTCTGAACCTTTTATTTCCACTGAACAGTATAACCTGGAGGTTGTCTGTATTAGTACATACTGATCTGCCCTTAAGTTTTTCTAAAGTGTATTTTAAATTTGAGCTGGAGCCATCCTTCTGAGTAACTTTAACAACCTTTAACAAATGTGCTGAGTTTTTGTGTGAAGCTGCTAGGCCTTATGTGGAACGAGAGGGATATAGGATATAGGAAAGACCCAAACGCCTCTCAGCACCACGCAAGGGGTCCCCACTGAGTCTGAAGGATAGCATTCACTAACAGGTAAATACTGTTTCTCTTACAGTGGATTAGGTGAATTTTCAAGAAAAATTAATATTTTTTTCCCTATGTGTTTTTTTCATATGT